GGGATGGACACACTTGAAGCTCTGACTCAGGTGAGACAAAGACCATGTATATAACCTAAACATTTTTACCCTTGTAATATGCTGAAATTAAAAAAAAAATAAAAAAGAGCTAAATCTTGTGGGAAAAGTACCACAAGGGACTACTAACCCATAAAGTCTACACTGAGTATTACAGGAATTTCCTTGAAAAATGAGGGATGTGCTGAGATGTAGAATGGGCAAGAGTGGGGAGAACACCCCAGGAAGGAGGAGTCAGAGGCTGAGGGATGGGTGTTGCAGGTACTAGTGAAATCGAAGATGTATTTTCACACACCCCAACCTCTTTCATAGACTTCGAGAATAATAAATTGGAATTGGTCTCATCGCACATTACATTAGACATATTAGCTATATTCAAATGCATCCACCTCATGATTTAATAATTTTGTTGTAGGAAAAGAGCAGAATGGCTTTTAAGAATATTTCTTTGGAAAAAATTATATTTTGCAAGATTTTTATGTTTTATTTTTTTGGTACTTTTGTTTGTTTTTAACCACTTCAGTATGGTGCTCACCAGTCATGAAACCTTGTGCACAGGCGGAAGTCATAGTCTGCATGATCGTTTGTGCTTTGCATTGAGGAAGAATCCATTTTGCTCTTGTGTGATGAGGAAAGTTTGAAAGCACTGAAATCTTGATTTACTTTACAGGCAGCTTTACTTGTAATGTAAATCAGAATAGGTAACATATACATATATGTTTTCATTACCTTATTTTTAAATGTTCACAATTTTATCTTGATAAATGAAAAATCAGAAAAGTGATGTCATGGCTGTCGGTTTAGTTGACGCTCGGCTGTGCGCCTTCCTATCATGGCTGTCAGCTAAAGTCGCTGTGCATGTTCATCTGTAGCTATCGACTGTAATCGATGCTCAGCTGTGGGTTTTCATCTGTGGCTACCAACTATAATTATGATGCTCACCTGTGCACGTTCATCTGTGGCTATCAACTATAGTTAACACTCGTACCAAAGTGGTTAATAAGCTAGAGATTTTATATAAGCCTTCTGATATTGTCTTAGATATTTGAAAGTTCAGAGATAGCAGCCTCTAGTGCTGTGTTGCTCCCCTGATAAATCAACCTTACCCTCCACTCTTCACTGTGCACACGCCTTAAGCAGCTTTATCTCATCCTGTCACATCAGCACCCCTAAATGCAACAAGCGCTAAATGCAGCTTCAGGTCCACACACCAAACCGCCTCTCAGCTGCCTTCCCTTGCAACCCATAGGAAACTCACACCTACCATGTAGAAAGCTAAGCTCACTCTGCAGCTTCTTTCACAACCCCCTGTGGTACTTCAGAACATATTGTCACAGAAAAAAACACCACAATAATTCACCCTCTCTTTTTGGAAGCCTAAGTGCCATTATCAAGGCCTATCCTTCACACTCTATTCTTAAGTCGGCATAAGTCCCATTCATTCCTGAAAATTTCTTTTACCTGACCCATTTGTTCCTACCTCAGAAAAAGACACCATTGTGCACATCATCTCACCTCTAATATTACCTCAATCTGCCTCTCTCCTTTCTCAATTACCAAAGCCTCAGCAGGGCCCTAGTCACTGCCCTGTTGATTGGTCTGATGGGTTCCCACTGTTCTTTTTCCCTCAATTTGGCTCCTCCACCTTATCCCCTAAAACTATACTAGCTACAGGATTGCCAAATTCCAGTTTTATCACCTCAATTCCTCCATAAACTCCTTCAGAGGCCCCCACAGTTTCTGGGCTATCAGAATCTGTATATGAAGCTAATTTGGATCGGGCTCTGATTCCTGCATAGTTTCCTCCCATACTCCCCTCCATCACTCCACCTGTGTTATTTTCATAAATGTTTAAGTATCTACTATGCACCAGCCACTGCTGATGGATCCTAAACATGTCCCATGCTTTCTCACCATTTATAAATAAATGGATTTCCTAAAGACAACCTGCCATTTTCTATTACTTTACCTATACAAGCATTGCTTTTTTTTTTTTTCTTCCTGAACTCCTTCTTGAACTCCTGTGCCTAGTTAACTATGGTCCATAGAAGCCTCACTCGAGGGATAAAATATAGTGTATTTTCTTTACTTATAACTTACCTAGTTTTCATTAGGAGCCCCTAGTAACTAAATTTAGTGAAAAAATTAAGTCTAATTCCCATTTTACAAATGAGAAGAGTGAGAGTCTGTAAGCATAAAGAACTTGTTCAAAGTTATACAAAAAGTAGTGGAGATAGATTTGCCCAAAAGTGGTACTTATAAGTATGCTATACAGCGTCTTTTGAAATGGCTTGGTTATGGAAGTTTTTCCACTACTTACAGGGGTTTTCTGCTGTGAAGATTTGCTATATGCTGAATGGTAAAAATTTGGTCCATTCAACCAATTTTATTAATCCCTACTTGGAACTTTAAGACTTTATAGAGTTACATTAAAAAGAGTAATAATACATTTAGATATAATTGATTCAGCTTATTCAAATGAAATTTCCGTTATGATGAGTTTCACTTCCGATTATGTTATTCAGGCTAGAGACTGAATTGCACAACTTCTGCTATTAATATGCAAATTAAAAAATCTAATGTTTTAAGACAAGGAGGTTCTGGAAGTACTGCAATGAAAGTATATTGGCAAACTTTATTAATGACCAAAAACCTCAATTAGAAATTCAGCTAAATGACAAATCTTTTGTTTGATTTATAAATACTGGAACTGATATTAAAATTTATCTAAAGGTTTTTGGCTAAGGATTGGCATATTATAATAATAGATTTAAAAGATTTTTTTACTATCCTTTTGCAAATATCTGATAGAAAAAAATTTGCCTTCACCATAGCTGCTTTAAACAATCAACAGCCAACTAAACAGTATGAAAGGAATGAAAGGGAAATAATTCTATACAAAAAATTTTAATGAAAATGATTTAAAACAAAAGTATTAGTTTTATTAAAAGATAATTTTGTTTAATTTATTGATTTTTTTAAACCACTTGGTTTATGTAATGATATAAGCAGAAGAATAAAAGTGCAGTGCTGACTTGTCACACACACAGTCAGCCAGCACACATTTACCCAACACACACATCTCCATACTGTGTCAGGCATTAGTAATGCAGAGATTGATCAGATATATTTGTTGATTTTAAGTAACTTACATATAAAAATACATTTAGTAAAGTACCTATAGATTTCAGGTAGAGCATAGCACAAATAAACATAAAAATGTGGACCATAAAGTCTCGAAAAAATTGTTAGATGTTCTCCAGACAGATTGTAAAAATGGGAGGGAGGAAGCTTTCAGGTAAAAGAGCAGGAGGTAATAAGGGAGGAATTATGGAGTACATTGTTGGACTTTTAAAACTGCAGAAATGTCTACAGAGCTCATATGTTCCACACTGTGTTTTGCAGTCCTAAACACATTCTACAACACATTGCTACTGAATTAAGAAATGAATGAATAAAAATACAGTGAGTAAAATCACAGGCTTTAAAGTCAGTATTTAGGTATTTAATAAAACCAGTGTTCCTTCTTTCTCTCTGCTGGAGATACTTTTGTTATTGTTTGTTTAAAAAATAAAGTATGTTATACAAAGTATCTAGAAGAATCAAATTCATAGAAGCAAAAAGTAAAATGGTTGTGCCAGGGACTGGAAGAATGGAGAAATGGAGTTATGTTTAATTGGTGTTCGGGGGAAAAAAGTTCTCAACATTTCTTTCACATAGTGTGACTATGCTTCACACTACTGTACTGCATACCTAACAAGTGTAAGATGGTAAATATTATATTGGGTGTATTTTATCAAAATTTCAAATTTTAAATGACCTATATAGTCACCAAGTGATTTAGAATAGAACAGGGTTGTTCTGTCTATATTATCACATTGGTGATATTGGCCACATTGGCCAGAATGTTTTCTCAGTCATGAACCCCCATTTTTGTTTCCATTTTTGCTTTTATTCAGATAACCCATAGAGAGTTTTGATTCTATGTATGTGCTTAAAATTGGGAGAGGTTTTATTCCTCTTTCAAAATATTTTTTTTAGAAAATAGGTATCCAAGCTGAGTTGCAATATTATGTCCATTACCTTGTGGGTTTGCCCTACACAGCAAGCCCTTTCCTGGCAGTATCCAGGGGTAGTTCTAGTAACAAGGTAGGTCCTCGGAAGCCAGCACCTGTGAGTGGAGCAAGAAGAGAGTGGGGCATGAAATAAGATCCTGAGTGGTGAGAACATGGTGGAAGGGATGCAGACAGGAAAATGGGCTGAGTGAGCTCTACCCCAGCAGAGGAGTAGCACAGGAATGCTTTTGTCTGGAGACAGCAGAAGACCCTGGAGCAGGTCAGCTGCCAGAGAGTACTGAGAGAGTCCTGGACTGGATCAAGCAGTGGCAAGGCCACCATGGCACACTAGAAGGCAAAGGTGATCTAAGATAATGTTCATCACAACTAAATTCATTGGGTGTTGTGCTAATGGGAGGGTGGAGGAGGGGAGGGGTATATACAACCTAATGGCTGCAGTGCTCGGCATCTTGGGGATGGACACACTTGAAGCTCTGACTGAGGTGAGACAAAGGCCATGTACATAACCTGAACATTTTTACGCTTGTAATATGCTGGAAAAAATTAAAAATAGCTAAATCTTGTGGGAATGGTACCACAAGGGACTACAAACCTAGAAAGTCTACACTCAGTGTTACAGGAATTTCCTTGAAAAATGAGGGATGTGCTGAGGTGTAGAGTGGGCAAGAGTGAGGAGAACACCCCAGGAAGGAGGAGTCAGAGGCTGAGGGATGGGTGTTGCAGGTGCTAGTGAAAGAGAAGATGCATTTTCACATACCCCGACCTCTTTCATATACTACAAGAACAATCAATTTGAAGGGGTCTCAGCCTACATTATATTAGACATATTAGCTATATTCAAATTCATCCACATCATGATTCAATAGTTTTGTTGTAGGAAAAGAGCAGAATGGCTTTTAAGAATATTTCTTTGAAATAATTATATTTTGCAAGATTTTTATGTGTTATTTTTTCTCTTTTTTTGTTTTTTTAACCACTTCAGTCCCGTGCTCACCAGCCACAAAACCTTGCCCACAGCCAGCACTCACAGTCCACATGATAGTTTGTGATTTGCATTGACGACAAATCCATTTAACCCTTATGAGATGAGGAAAGCTTGAAAACACTGAAAGCTTGTTTTACTTTACAGGCAGCTTTACTTGTAATGTCAATCAGACTAGGTCACATATACATATATGTTTTCATTATGTTATTTTTAAATGTTCACAATTTTATTTTGATAAATGAAAAATTAGAAAAGTCATATCACAGCTGCCAGCTAAAGTCAATGCTCGGCTGTGCAGCTTCATATTATGACTGTTGGTTAAAGTCATTGTGTGTGTTTATCTATGGCTATCGACTATAGTCGATGCTCATCCATGCACCTTCATTTGTGGCTATCAACTATAGTGGATGCTCATACCAAAGTGGTTAATAAGCTAGAGATTTTATATCAGCTTTCTGATATTGTCTTAGATCTTTGAAAGTGCAGAGATAGTAGCCGCTAGTGCTGTGTTGCTCCCCTGATAAAACAACCTTACCCTCCACTCTTCACTGTGCACATGCCTTAACTGTTTTATTTCATCCTGTCACATCAGCACCCCTAAATGCTACAAGTGCTAAAATGCATCTTCAGGTCCACACACCAAACCACCTCTCAGCTGCCTTCCCTGGGCAACCCATAGGAAACTCCCACCTACCATGTAGAAAGCTAAACTCACTCTGCAGCTTCTTTCACAACCCCCTGTGGTAATTCAGAACATATTGTCACAGTGAAAGACACCACAATCATTCACCCTCTCAATTTGGAAGGCTAAGTGCCATTGTCAAGGCCTATCCTTCACTCCATATTCTTAAGTAGCCATAAGCCCCATGGATTCCTTAACATTTCTTTTACCTGACCCATCTGTTGCTACCTCAGAAAAAGACACCATTGTGCACATCATCTCACCTCTAATATTACCTCAATCTACCTCTCTCCTTCCTCAATACCAAAGCCTCAGCAGGGCCCTAGTCACTGCCATGTTGATTGGTCTGATAGGTTCCCAACTGTTCTTTTTCCCTGCAAGTTGGCCCCTCCAACTCATCCCCTACAACTCTACTACCTAGAGGATTGCCAAAATGCCAGTTTTATCACCTCAATTCCTCCATAAACTCCTTCAGGGGCCCCCACACTTTCTGGGCTCTCAGAATCAGTGTATAAAGCTCATTTGTATTGGACTCTGATTCCTGCATAGTTTCCTCCCATACTCCCCTCCATTACTCCACCTTATTTTCATAAATGTTTAAGTGTCTACTATGCACCAGCCACTGCTGAGGGATCCTACACATGTCCCATGCTCTCTCACCATTTACAAATAAATGGATTTCCTCAATACACCATGCCATTTTCTACTACTTTACTTATACAAACACTGTTTTTTTTTTAAATTTACTTTCTGAACTCCTTTTCCAACTCCTGTGCCTAGTTAATTACGGTCCATAGAAGCTTGACTACAGAGATAAAATGTAGTGTGTTTTCTTTACTTATAACTTATCTGGTTTTCTTTAGGAGCCCCTAGTCACTAAATTCAAGAAAAAAATTAAGTCTAATTCCCACTTTACAAATGAAAAAAGTGAGAGTCAGTAAGCATAAAAAACTTGTTGAAAGTTATACAGCAGTAGAGGAGCTTGATTTGCCCAAAAGTGGTACTTATAAGTAGGCTATATGGCTTCTTTCCAAATGGCTTGGTTACGGAAATTTTTTGCACTGCTTACAGGAGCATTCTGCCGTGAAGAAGCTTTGTTATATGCCGAATGAAAAATATTTGGTGAATTTAACCAATTTAATTCGTCCCTTCTGGAAACTTTAAGACTTTATAAGGAAGCACAATTGCTCACTTAATGCCCCTTAGGCAAATGATCCTTTGGGGTAATGTGAGAGAATACTAGAACTAGTATTAATGTTTACTTTTATCATTAAATGTAGTGATAATAGTAAATAAAACTTTCTATTTGCATAAATTAAGGGTGCATGCCTCAAAGTTTCTTCCTGGTAGGAGTTTGAGATAAAGGGTATAGGGACCCCTGTTCTCTACTGACCTCTGTTCATTTCCTTCTATTCTCCTCTAAGCTCACTCCACTTGAGCCACAACTCACCAAGCTCACACTCAGGTTCTTCCCACATATCCTCACACAGTGACCTCACTATCTTCATCCAGGCCCCTGCTCAAATGGATCTCCCTAGGGGGTCATCACCCACACCCCACCCCACCATCAACTCTCCCTCCACTTATCCTGCTTTACTCCTCTCCATCACAGTTACATTTACCTGACATTACATATTTGTGTCAATCACCACAAACAGAATGAAAGCTCAGGAAGCCTGGGAGCCTTCTCTGTTTTGTTTCTATCCTTTTCTCCAGTGCAGTAGGAATTATGACCTGAATGGATGAATGCAGATTTTTCTCTTCTGTTACCATGTACACTGCTGAGTGTAGATCATTCTTTGGCTAAACTTGTTTGACTGCGTTGTGAGTTTGTCTTATGTATAGGCCAGTACTGTCTCTATGCATGCCTGGTTTCTGCTTGGCATCCAAGAGAACATTCTTCAACACTGAAAATGTTTGGTATCCGTGCTGTAGTATAAGCTGTAGCCTTTAACCTCATGTTGTTACTTAGCTCTTGAAAAGTGTCTAGTGTAACTAAAACACTGAATTTTTTATTCTATTTAGTTCTTAAGAATGTTTACTGTAATTATGAGAGGATTTCAATTTCTAGAACTGTAATTAAGGAAAAAATGTTTAAAAAGTACATGTTCAAGTGCAACAATGATTGTCTTCTCTCTTCCAATGTGGCAAGTGTCATATTCTAGAACTCTTTTATGATTCCTTAGTAAATCCTGGTGAAAGAGAAATGTAATAATTTACTGAAACTAAAAGAAGAAGGGCAGGGAAAAAATGAATTTGAAGTGCTGGAAAGTGCCTTGTGATTTAATTTGGTGTAATTATGTACAGATTGTGAACATAATGCTCTTTCAAACTGTCTTCTAAATTGACAAATAAGGAACAAGCACGGAAGAACAACCAGACATCAAGGGTGATGTCATTCTTTAGGCCTGTTTCACAGACCACAGGATTTCTGGCTTCTTTTTGTCCTCACCATGCTGGAACTCCTGGTCTTTTCTGGGAACACCACAGGCATCCTCCTCATTCACCCTACCCACCTCTCCACTGCCCTACATATTTTCTGATCAGAAAGACATCGCTCATGTACCAAATCTATATGTCCATATTTGTTCATCAAATGGCCCTCAACTTTCTCTCTTGGGATAATCACATCTCTCTCACTGACTGTGGCATTTATCTCCTGCTCATCATCACCCTGTTGGAAGCAGAGTGTCAGATGCTGGCCACCCTGGCTTAGGACTGC